CAGCTGCGCTGAACAACGTCTGTACAAGATTATAACCTTGACCCTGATAGAGGCGTCGATGCAACGCGCTCCTTTCCCGTACGGTTTTTTGAAGATATCTCTCCGGCATGTCATGCGATTGCGCTCAAATTTTCGGTGGCCTATGGTAAATTCATTGCGCGTATTTTTGCTTCATGCATGCGTCTTTAGCACAGTTTATTTCCGAACAGTTTTTAGGAACATTTTTCTTTCAGGAGCACTGCGCGGCGATCCACGGCCGGCGCGGGCGGCTGTCGGCAACCGCCGAATTCGCCGATCGCGCGAGGCGGCCAGCACAGTAATCAATGTGTCCTACGCCATGAGTCTATCATCAAGGCACTGAAGAATGCATATAGGTTCACTCACAGTGTAACAAGGAGCATGTCCGGGTAAATTTCACGTCGGTAAGAGGCATAAGTTTGGAAATATGAGCATGTAAAGCTGAAAATGTGTGATCCTGGTTAACCACTGACTATTGCTGATGAAAATATGCTGATGTTCTTCGCGAAGCTCTGTCGTTCTTTCTTTGGAACGGCAGGAAGGGGAGTGGTCCTAGATCCCACGCTTTTCAATCCGCGTTGTAGAAAAGGGCCAATGAGGGCGAGGGATGCCGTTTAGACACTGATGCCTACACCTGCACTTCTATATGGCGCTATCATGAGTTTTCCCCAAGCCTCATCCGTTTGTTTTCATTTTGCGTCTATTTTCTACTTCGTCCGACAGTCTTTCGTGCGCATTGACGTGCGAATAGCCGGCGGCTCTGTGGACGCGCTAATTGTCAAACACGAATGCCTCTAGCTAACAGCGTCGGACCAATACCAGTCACACTGGAGATGGCCTCGGAGGCGAGCCAGACGGGAGGAGCCAACGCTGACTTCTGCTTCTACGACCGCCCTGAAACGGGTCTCTCAAGCTGCGATTTCTTGGGAATTGAAACTTTTGACTGAAGCATGCAAAGAAGACTCGCTCACGCAATTTGAATGCAAATGAGGCACTAGGAACCGGAAATTTAGAGGCATGCTACATACTCCTTTGAGCACAAAAAACAGATGAAGTTCTAAAACCGGGTCATTGCCCCGCGTTAGAGTCGCGTTGACTCCCAGAATATGCTCTGTGCAAACGTCTTGGAGCCATGTCGTTACAGCCGCGGTGACTCCCAGAGATATGCTCTGTGCAAACGTCTTGGAGCCGTGTCGTTAGAGTCACGATGACTGCCAGAAGTATACCGTGGGGATGCGTCCTCGAGCCACATCGTGACGTTCGTTCAGCCTACAGTTCGTGACACATTACACTGTAGGTACTTGGCTGGGTTGAGAGTGGGAATCCTGAGTTTTCGCCCACGACTAGCGACAACTAAAAGCTGTTTAAATCGCCGGCTGTTATGTGTTGTGTAATGCGCCGATGTTGCGATCGCTTACGCTGCAGCACACCGTGCGTAAATAGTAATAAGAGGGGTATGACTTGCGCTGTCAGTCACGTGACTTCAGAGTCGTGTGGCAATCTCACGAAAGAGGCGTCATTGTGAACTGAAAGATGCGTGTTAACGACCGGGAGACACGTCATCTATCACTGTCATGCAAAAGTCGTGTGATGCAGGGTTGTAGCACGCGACGCGCAGTCCGTGTGATCGGTGGTGCATGCCACGAAAGGTGCGTTACAAGTGATGCGTGATGCGTCGTCCGGGGGAGGCGTGGCGCCTGTGACAAGGAGCACGTGACGGTGCCACGTGACGAGTGGCAAGTGACATGTGGCATGTGACGTGTGACGTGTGATGCGTGACGTGTGACGCGTGACCTGTACCGTTTGTGCCGCCAGTGCCACCGGACACGCCGGCTATATACGAGAGTTCGGACCGGATGGTCGGCCAGGGGGCTGTCGGGCCCTACAGGGAAGGAGAGACAGCCCAGCTGGTGTGTGTTTCGACCTCAGGTGAGTTTACCGAGCTTGCCTAGGTGCTAGGTAATGAGCCAGACGCGAACACTGCTCGGTGGGTCATCCAAACTGGCGGTGGGACCCGAACGAAGGGTCTCGCGCTTCGCTTTCTTCTTATCGTGGGGACGGAGGTACGTGAGCGAGTGAGTGAGTGGAAGCAGAGCAAGTTCTCCACTCCTCGACTCCAGCAACACTGTTCTTCCACATCGAGTGGTCAGGGGACAACAAGTGGCTGATGTCAGATATTATGACGGTATGGTGCCGACTGAGCTAAGACCTGTACAGCCAATCGCATTTTCCGCCATCCTCTCCACGTTCCGTGCAAACCTCTCTCTTCAATTCCTGCCACCGCTCGGCTCCCGCCGCCATGGCCCGGCCTGCGATGACGTCTCAGCGCAGGGCAGCCCACCCAGGGTCCTCCAGCGTCGCCGTCTGGCGTGCTGCAAGGTCCGGCAGCCGTCGCGACTGGCCGGCCGGCGCGCCGCCGCGTTCATGGTGCCGTAAACCGAATGACTCGGCTCTGTACGACCGACTCGTTCGACCAGGTTAGGGGCCGGTCGGCGGCGATGCCCGTGAAAAGCTGCTTTATTGTGCGACTCAATTTGCGAGATGGGTCTCGGACTGCTGGCGTGGAAAATAATGGGCGGCGCCGAATTTTCTCCAGTAGCCCAGACCCCTTGGGTGTGTGGACTGCACTCTGGATTACCAGTCACGTTCGAGGACCGCGTTTCACTAGACGGCCTCTAACGTATGGTCTGCTTTGCATTTGTTGCGTGCTCTTGGATCGTTCACGCTATAATCTGTGGCCTGTATGTGCCACCTTCCGGCGCGGACCGCTTTGAATTGAAGTTGTAACATATGTCAGCGCGGGTTTTATAGCTGCAGTCGACGTGGTTTATGCAGGCAAACAGCGTTAATGCTGGGCAATCGGTCGAGTTCGTTGCTCTTCTTGCGGGGCAGCTGGTCGTCGCTCCAACTTTATGTGCTGAATCAACTGGATTGTACCTACAACTTTTACAACTGGACCGTACTTTTCTTCTCACATTGTAGACACCTCATCTTATTATTGCACTGTAGACTACTCGTCTACATTCATGAATGGTGTGCTATTGTTGCAGTGTGAGAGCGTGTGTTGGAGAAATACACCCAATCCCGTCTTAAATAGAAAGCGACAGAGATACCCAGCGCGTCTGCAAAGGACGAGCACTGCCAACAAAAGCTCACTGGCGGGTTCTAGCCTACGATGAGTACGCGCGGCACGGGCTGTAAACGCAACCAGCCGGCCGGTAGTCTGGCTTTCAGCGCTCTACGCCTCGGCGCACTTTGGATTCCACTGAGCAGTGCCGAGCGGGCCCTGGTGCACTCAGCAGCTTCTAATGCCTCCGACAATGCCCCTGCATCGACTGTGCGGTCCTGGCACCAGGCGTGTGGCCGTACTCACTGCTCCCCGAGGTGAGATGGCGCGCCGAAACGAGCCCAGCAGTGCGGCGCGGCCCCGTAGTGCCGAGCGCCTTCTGAGCCGAACACCTCTGGCAACGCACCCGGCCGGCGCGCAACTTTTACAACCTGATGTATTTGATTGCCGCTTTAAAGCAATTGACTTGGCAATTACTGTTGGCGCGGCCAAATAAGCGCTCAGTAGGGCGAAGTGGGCTCGCTCTGTTGCCAAGCGCAGGGCCCATTCGCTGGCCACACTGCCTGGGCGCGCACTGGAGGACTGTTAGTCCGTCTCGAAATGAACACGGCCTTCTGTTCATAATGAAGTCAGTCGATGGCCGATGGGCGCGGGGGGTGAGAGCTCGTCTGGAAAGACATTGAATAACAGCCTGAGCCCACTCCAGCCAGCCTTCTGAGTCTGCTGTTAATGTGCCCACACGTGTATGCTATTCGATAGTCCGGCAATGACTTTTAAGTCCTCTGACAGACATTTGGGGGTATACTTTGACATTTAACACGCAAAGTGCACATCTTTTCTAGGTCTTTTTGGGTGCTCAGACATTGCTATTGCTGCGATGAATTGAAGCAACGAGCTTCATTTTACCGCACTGCTGCCGGTTGAGATTACTTTCACTGTTAGCTATAAAGGTGTTATACGTTAAATAAATATACTTATTGCATAACCTTACTGCGTACTGATGCTATCGGTTTTGAGCCAGGGAAACGCTGGTGTGACCCAAACAGTTCAGCTCTGGCTAGATGAGTGTTTTAGATAAGCCACGGCCTTAGTACTAGTGATTTACCGTGCCTCTTAAAGGTAAGCGGTCTTTCAAACCTTCGATGGTGTGCCTAAATCATAGCCATTACTAAAACAAACCATTTCGCCCGCACCACGCCAGCCAAGTTGCGTATGACAGCACTAAGCCGTGCCTCCAATGCGTCGTCGAAGTAAGTCGCGGCTGTGCGACCGAGGTCACGACCCCTACACCAGTCAAATAGTGAACGGAGTGGTTGCACGAGGGGTTGCAAACCGCATGGTGGCGCGCGCGCGGGAACACTGCGGCGAAATCCATTCATCTTCGTGGTCACTCTGCACTGACCCACTGTCGCGTTGTGCTCCTGACCCAGCGCAGCAGCCGCACGCAGCAGGGGCACGCGTCACCCGTCGCGGTCGCTGACAAGAAGCCGTCTGCATGATCTCATTGGTTGTGCTAGAATTCGGTGGTCCTGTCAGGGAGCAGGGAGCGGACAGGGAAAGGAACGGACAGAACAGCGGACCGGGAACGGGCAGTGACAGCGGACCGGGAACAGGCAGTGACAGCGGACCGGGAACGGACAGAACAGCGGACCGGGAACGGGCAGTGACAGCGGACCGGGAACGGACAGAACAGCCGACCGGGAACGGACAGAACAGCGGACCGGGAACGGGCAGTGACAGCGGACCGGGAACGGACAGAACAGCCGACCGGAAAGGGGCAGTGACAGCGGACCGGGAACGGACAGAACAGCGGACCGGGAACGGGCAGTGGCAGCGGACCGGGAACGGACAGAACAGCGGACCGGGAAGGGGCAGTGACAGCGTTTTGTCCGATGTGTGATGAGCTTCATGAGGCATGAAGCGTGAGGCATGAGGCATGAAGCGCATACATTTGCTGCTACTCCTGATGGGATGATCGGCTAATACATTTAGCGCGATGTTATAACCCTGTAGGTCGCCATCTAATGATCGTGTAAATCACCGACTAATCATGACGCGTAATCATCCAAGTGGCAGTGCATACACCACTGAATATGACGAAGGCAAATGTCAGCATTAGATGGATCCAAGGATATGATTGCTTCGTTTCACATAACTTGGGCTACACTGCGGGCTTGTGATGTGCCGTTGGTCACCGCTGATTGAGGCCAGGGGGGCCGAACGGCGCCCCGGCCGGCCGTTAGCATGGTGATGAGCTGGCCCGCACCCACACCCTGCAGCGTAGGCTGCCGCTGCGCTGGCGAACTTCCGAACCGGCACGGCGCCATCACCCGATCACCGTGCTGACATTCTGGCGAACTCCCGAACCGGCACGGCGCCATCACCCGATCACCGTGCTGACATTCTCCTCCCGTTGCAGACCGGCGCTCCTGGTGGCCGCTCTTGTGACGTAACGGCCCGCGTCACCCACAGGCCGTCCGCGTCCGAACGTCACGTGGTGGCGCGACAACGCCCTCATCGACGCCAGCTGGGAGACGACTGCCGACGGCGCCACGCGCAACCAGCTGACGCTGGGCCCGCTGAGTCGCGCCGACCTTGGGCGCCGAGTACACCTGCTGGGCGGCCAACCACGCGCTCACCACGCCGCGCGCCGCCACCGCCGCCGTCCGCATGACCCGTTAGTGATGCGTGGAGAAGCAGACAATTAGCGGCGCTGTTGCCTCAGCAGGTCTTCTGCGATGATAACGCAGCCACGTGGGCCATGACGGCTGTCGAGCCGGCCGTCGGGGCAGCGATTGATCGCGAACTACCTGAACTGACAGACATGAGTCGGGAATAGGTTTGCGCTTCGGTGGCTTTTGTCACGCGACTCCAGCTCGATTCGATGAAGGAAAACGCTGCGAAAACACTCCGTCACTTTGTCCGTCTGGACGTCACTGGTGGCTGATCAAAAAGCAGAATCCTCTGTTTTTGCCGCCTAACTGAATCAGCAGCAGTTGCTTCGTGAAGTTATCACAAAAGTTGAACAATTACAATAATGGTATCAGAAGACTGAACATAGTTGCCAAGACCCTGCCCATGTCGGGTGACAGCACTGCCAGAGTTTAGCTAACGCTGACCATTTTGCTCCCTACTACTGTCTCAGCACACGCCCTCTCCTTCATTCAAAGGCGATAATGAGACCGGTGAGACATGTTTTCTGGTCACGTAGTGATAGCTCATTTCATCCTCAATCATACCAAATGCCTTTTGACGGCTTTTGTAGCGTGTACTTCTTTACATGACGTAAACGTCTCTTCATACCCGCGTCACGCATTTACTAGCGCAGGATCCCTTAGTATATTGTCGAGGGTGTGGGGCTGCTATTCTCCGGCTGTGCTGTTGCTAGCTATATTGAATTATGTTGAATTTACAATGATCGATACTTTTAAAAAGACATTAAGGTCAAGGATCAGAAATAAGGGTGGTGGAGACAGTCCGACGTTTTGAGGTTCGTTGTTTTCATGGAAAACAGCAACTGTCGGCACTCGGCCTAATCGGGGATCCATGCGACCAGCCTCCGGAGCCAGCAATCATAAATATATGCTCAAAGCACATTAAATCATGCACCACTGCACTCAAAACTTAAGAAGAAATAAGTCTGTTTAGGTTTCGTATTGCTATAAAACGTGGTCTCGTACTTATGAGCACGTTAATCTGAAACAATGCAATTTTCGGGAAAGTGCAACGCTCTATATATATATATATATATATATATATATATATATATATATATATATATATATATTAATCACGATATTTTGCTAAGACCGGTCCACTGTTTTTCCCGCCAATCCCTATCTTTCTTAGATTGGAGACAACTGGGGCGGGGTCGCATCTCCCCTTCCCTGTCAGTGCGCGTAATGAAAATTTGCGAATCAAGGCGAGGATTCAAATGTCCAACTTTATGCTCAAAAACGCTAAGTTAAATCCTGCAAAATTGTCGGAGTTGGCCTTCCGGTGGTCGACCTTGTTACACGCAATATGATCACAATATGATCACAATATGCAATATGAGCTGTGGTATTTTTAAGGCTTCGACTCGGTTCCGTTATTTTCGTGTTGGCATGAAGTTGTGCTCTAGTCGAATAATTTACGTCATGCGTTATATATTCTGTTCGGTTGCCCGCAGCGCTTCCTCAGTCTGGTGCGGCGGCACGATATTAGAAAACTTATTTCATCTCCAAACAATGAAGCCCCGAAATCTTGACAAAGAATTTAGATATAAGGGAAAATAAAACGCTCTCACAATGCTGTCTGCTAACCAACGCAATGTCACTCAAGCACAGGCTAGCACACAAGTAATGAAACAACACTGGGAGGTGCATACGAACACGTTGAAGTGGACACGCTACGTGTGTGCGCACACTTGGTAACTGTTTGGAGCGCCAAGGCGAAGATTATTGAAGCATTTTTAGTTAAAAATACACAAGATGTACTTTCTGTCATTATACCTGGTGTCACAGGGCACTGAAAACTCTCAGTTACCTTGTCAACTTATCATTTGTGTCAATTTGCCCTCAGCCCATGACACAATGGCTTCAGACGACTCCCAAGGATAGAACGCTGCAAGTTCGATATAGCTTGGCAGCGTGTCGATGCGTGACTCTCGTCCAGGCCCCGATCGCCATTTCGCTGACGCACTGTTTCCGCGATCGTCCCAAGACACAGCAGCGTCGCGGCCGTATTTCACGGCGGTGCTAAGCGTGACAAACGCAGCGCTGTTTTCCTGACGGATCGGGCCATTCGAACGTCTCCGAGCGGCGGCGTCTCGCCCGGGGCCGTGCTCACCCGGCCGCCCCTGCCGCCAGTGAAGCCGCTGAGCGTGGCCTTCATGGGGCTGAACGTGCCGCTGTCAGCCGGCCGGCGCCACCGGCTGACCTGCAGCACGGTCGGCTCGCGCCCCCCGGCCACCATCTCCTGGTGGATGGCCGACAGGAGGCTGACGGAGGTCACACAGGTTAGTCGGCGGTCACGGCAGCCCGCTTCAGACGGCGCTGTTTGATGTGACAGGTATTGCTAGCTCCAGCGAAGGCCAACGATTTATTTCGTTAATTTTTGTACATAGTCTGGTTATTTGCCGCTTGACTGGTCGCATGCTACTCTTAAGTGTAGATTTGCTTATAATTTACGCCATATAAATGATAAATGCAATGATAATAAGATAATATGTAGTATGAATAGTAATTACGTAATGATAATAATGAAATAACTCAAGCCTCATGTCTTTTTTTTGTTGCGGACTTTCCCAATTAAGATGAAAATTCGACAGGAATTAAATTCCACGCTGGCTTTCGTTTGAAGGAGTTGATTGGCATCGAAGGTAGATGCAATTTTTGGCGTCCTAATCCGTAGGATTTGTGGTAATCTGCCACCTTCCTTTCCAACTGAAAAAAAACACGACAGATAGTTCCTCATAACCCCCTTTGCACCAGTGTTTATTAAGCTGGTACCTAGGAGTTCGGTTCCGCCGCATCCCATTGGCGTACTATGGGATGTGCAGGATAGGGGAAGGGGGGGGGGGGGAGGGGGAACTGTCGGTTGTCGTGAGGCCTATCAAAATGTCCGGTAGGCTTTCTCGGAAAGCGCGTTTGTTTCGTCCAATTGTAAATGTGCATTCATTTATCTTTGCGCATTCGGTCCCATTGGACCAAATCATGGAGTAGGTATTACAAACGTAGTTACCTATTACAACCTATGACAAACGTAATTCACGATAAGGTACATCCAGGATTATGAAAGAAAAACGCCTCCCGAAGGAAAAGTTGCGGCTATTTTAATTGCCCTGCCAACAAAACATGAGTTTCACTCCTGGTATCCCAGGTTTTTTAATCCAAATTATAGATTTGGTACCATGTAGAAACTACCATTTTGTATTAGATTAGATACCTGTCCAATAGAGCTGACGCGAAGAGGGATTATGCCATAGAAATAATTTTTGATGTGGTTGTGGCAAAACATATGTCATGAGAGACAATGCACGATAATAGAATCAGACGCATTGCTGGCTAGATATTTGGTATGTGTGCCACGCACGAGTTCATGACATGCGAACATCCTAAAAAGTAGGAGGGCCGGGCCTATTTTTCAGCTTCATGCTTCCCATGCATCACAAAAGGGTAGCGTAAAACTTTTATGAAAAATACAAGGATCATGACCCCTGGCTCCGCAGCCTGCAACGCCTGTGCAAGGGTTTCTAAAGCACTTACCTCTGCCTAGAAGCGCCTGCGCTGCGGGATGTAAAACCCGACCCTCTGTCCAGCTGGTTGTCCAGGAACCGACGGCCTCCGCTCTCGCCCTCGCCGACCGAGAAGGAGAGAAGCCTTCCGGCCGGCGCCGCGCTGCCAGATTGAATTGCTCGCCGTCAAAGCCGCGAAGAGCCCGGCGCCTTTAGGTTTTCGTATTTAATAACGCCGACGAGTGCCCAATGAGTGATGAAACGTGATATGTGACCGCGCGGCCCAGCATGCGTTATGGCGACCCGCGCTATATCGAGGCAAATTCCCGGCTCTCTTCGGAGAGCAGCCGTCGCTGCGGGCGGGTGGCGGCTCAGCATCGGTTCCGTTTAGTGCATAGGTTATGGCCGGGGGGCGCGCGCGGCATGGCGGTCCCGACAGGACCGGTGCATTGATCTGGCTCCGGCTGACAGCTGCAAGCGAGCCCCTCGATTCGCCGTGGCGCGCGCCAGGCTTAAAACACTTGTTTCAAGCGCATGGGGGCGGTGACCAATAAAGCCGAGTGGTGCGCTCGGTGAACCGCGAGCCGTGTAACGCGGGATGGAGCCCCAGATGAATCAGGCTTTGCCAAAGGCTGTCGAGTCCGAGCGTTATACCCCGTCCATATTGCGCGCCAGTCAAGTGAAGCTGGGCTTAAGTACGAGCGGCCGTAAACGGTGACCGCTCGCGATCCTAGTGGCATGCGATAGGGTGGCTGTTACTAGCCGCCGTTGAAAAATGCATATCCATGTTGTTGTCAATGAAGGGGACTAGCAGACTGGGACGTCGTCGGTTTTTTCGATACGGATGCACGATTGTTTGTTTTGCATTCCCCGCTGGTGTGGTCACACTGGGCCGACACGGACCTCCGTCATAGTGCAATGCAACATTGCTCGCCAAGTTCACTGAATTTCCCGTCATTGATAAGGGTGTGTTCATTAGTTACACACATATAACTGAATTAGAAGAAGGAGCGGAAGGGCAATGGCAAAGCCATTTATCTTCTACGATTATGGCTCCTCCGATGAGAAGACGTCCTTGCTTGACGCGGCGTTTCGGCGCTCCACATGCGCCATCTCACGCGACGAGCTCACGTTTCTCTCATCCTCAGCACGTGAGCGAAGACGGCAACAGCACGACCTCGACGGTGACCTTGACCCCGCGAGTCAGTCACGACGGCCAGAGCGTCAAGTGTCGCGCGGCCAACAGCGCGCTGGCGGGAGAGGTGATCGAGCAGTCTCGCAGGCTCACCGTCTACTGTGAGTTGGACTGCAACCACCGGCAGCGCCCACCGTGGCTGTGGCTGTGTGTGTGTGTGCGTGTCTGTCAAAAATGATGCCGGTTTGGCACCTCGCATCACTGACAGCGTTTTGTGCACCATTCGAACTAGTTACGTGGTGGGATGCCCTTTGAATGCAAAGGTGACTATTTCGATGCATCCATTTAAGCTGAATCAATTTTTTAAAACAGATGAGAGCCAATTATGCAGTACATCTGGGTAGATCAGGCGTATCAAACGGACCAAAATAACAGCCGAAGCGGTGTATCGGAAGCACAACATATGAAACGCTTATAACTGGTGACAACCATGTCTCAATGCTGGACCTGCGGAAACAACTATGTGAGGTATGGACTTACCCGCTATAGTAATGGTATGGAAGCAAGCATGCATCAAAGTGGTTAAACGGTAAAAGTAGTATGAAATGATATAGCACCTTAAATATGGCAGCGACTCAAAGTGTAGTAACATGAATATAATGGGATATCAAAATTATAGATCAGTGAAGTAACGAAATATGATAACAATTCGATTGAAGTGGAAGTACGAAAGGCGCAATTTCCATTAACACGCGCCCGGGTGGCCGGCTAGATACCCTTCGCTCGGGTGGGAGGGGGGTCAATTTGACCCCCCAACCCCACCCCCGCCCGGGCGAAAGGTATCTAGCCGGCCATCCGGGCGCGTGTTAAGGAAGAGCTTACATCCATTCTCACCAAGTTTTTATGAAACAACCTACGAAAGACGACGTTCGGGTTCTGGAGACCTCTGAACCTGATGCTGTGGTCTGTTGAACCTTCATTCGATGAACATCGAAGCTGTTTCCGACATGCGCTGGAAGGTGATTTGAGATCTTCTGAAGCCGACTTCTAGAGCTGAGCTTATTGGAAGGGTGTGATTTTATCTGGCAAGTTTCCATTATTCTTTTTTAGCCACCGTTTTCCTTGAGGCTGATATGTGTGGTACCTTTTTATTCTCATTGAATAATAGAGTACATAATGATTTGTATTATAAGAATCACGTCATGTTAGAGGATGTACCTCTGGGTGATATCGATGCAGAGAGCGGATTTTTCCGCAGCAGCCGCATCCCAGCGTGCACCAGTGCATACCACATTCGACTGGGAACGGTCAAGTTTGCGGCCCGGTTTATGCAGCAGCACATCGCAGCCACCAACTCGGAATGCATACGGCGCTGAGACGAGGCGGCCCGCTGCCGGACAAGCCGGCCCGGCCGCCCCGGGGAGCTCGGAGTCGTGTCGCGGGCGGCGCCTGCCGACCGCATGTCGGCCGGTTTGAGCGCCGGCCGCTCCTGTTGATAAGGGCGCGGCGCGGCGGCCGCCGGCCTCCTGGAATCGATGACACGAGAACGCCGCTCGGGCAAGAGCGGCCCACCCGAGCCGCCGGTCGCCGGCCGCGGCGGCGCCGGCCGATCGCGCCGCTCCGATGAGATGTGTCGCAGCTGAGCGGCGTTGGACAGCCTCGTTTGTGCGATGCGCGGCGCCGCGGCGGCCGGATGTTTTGGTGACCGGTGAACCGCGGCGGCGGAGGTGGTGACGCTGTCGCGCTGGTGCGTCGGTGGCGGCCCCCCCCCCCTTGACGCCGGTGGTCGGGTGCTGCCCCTCCCCCCCCGGCACGCGCTCTGCCGATGTCAGCCAGCAGAGGGGCTGGTAGCGGGACTAGATCTGGAGAGGGTTGGGGTTATAAGCGATGGGATACCTAGACGAAAAACAAATGTAGAGATTCATAGAAACTGCACGAGAGTGGATGAGTTCGTGGGGTAGTGAGAGGGTGGGTGGGTGTATGGTGTGCATGTGTGCTACTGGATGGTGGGTAGCTGGATGTGTAATTGAGTGCGTGGACGAGTAAGTGAGTGAATACCCGTGTAAATAAGTGCATCAGTGAGTGGCTGCGGGACAGGCACTCCATACCTAGTGTTTTGCCCTCGCGATATGTCACAGTAAGTGCGTGCGACACGCACACACCAGGCCACGTATCAAGTGGCTCGTGCATAGCACGGGGCTTTTGACGCGTCGCAGTTTTCATTTCGTGACGTACTCTGGACGTGATGTACTCCGGGTCAGCTCCTCCCTTAAAAATGGCTGACTGCAACTGACTGCACTGTGTGTGCAACTCTTTCACTTCGTATCTACCCACGCATCGACTCCATCAGTCTGTCTGATGACGCAGCGTGGACCTATCTGATGACGCAGCGTGGACCTGTCTGATGACGCAGCGTGGAGCTGTCTGATGACGCAGCGTGGACCTGTCTGGTGACGCAGCGTGGACCTGTCTGATGACGCAGCGTGGACCTGTCTGATGACGCAGCGTGGACCTGTCTGATGACGCAGCGTGGACCTGTCTGATGACGCAGCGTGGACCTGTCTGATGACGCAGCGTGACGTCAGTGCAGCACCGCACCGGCCGGACGGTCACCTGCCGGGCAGCTGCGCGGCCTGTCCCGTCGCCCGGGCGCGCGCCACGCAAGCCGCTGTCGGCACGCGTCTGGTACCCGGGGCAGCGGACGCCCGCAGCGCGGCAGCGACGCGTCCGCCGACGCATTTGTCTTCATACGTCGCGGACACGTTAGCGCGAATTAATGCGCCGCGGACCGGCTGCCGTCTCGTTCCCGAGAGACGCGACGGCCCCGCTCGGCCAGACCAGGCAGGACTGGGCTCGACTTGACTCGCCTCGACTCGACTCCACCCGGCTCGGCTCGGCTCGGCTCGACTCGGCTCAGCTTGGCACGGCCTCGGGCTCGGCTCGGCTCGGCTCGGCTCGGCTTGGCTCGGCTCGGTTCAGCTCGGCTCGGCTCAGCTCAGCTCAGCTCGACTCGGTTGGCTCGGCTCAGCTCGGCTCAGCTCAGCTCGGCTCGGTTGGCTCGGCTCGGCTCGGCTCGGCTCGGCTCGGCTCGGCTCGGCTCGGCTCGGCTCGGCTCGGCTCGGCTCGGCTCGGCTCGGCTCGGCTCGGCACGGCTCGGCTCGGCACGGCACGGCACAGCACGGCACGGCACGGCACGGCACGGCCTCGAGCTCGGCTCGGCTCGGCTCGGCTCGGCTCGGCTCGGCTCGGCTCGGCTCGGCTCGGCTCGGCTCGGCTCGGCTCGGCACGGCACGGCACGGCACGCCACGGCACGGCACGGCACGGCACGGCACGGCACGGCACGGCACGGCACGGCACGGCACGGCTCGGCTCGGATCGGCTCGGCTCGGCTCGGCTCAGCTCGGTTGGCTTGGCTCGGCTCGGCTCGGCTCGGTTGGCTCGGCTAGCTCGGTTTGGCTCGGCTCGGCTCGGCCCGGCTTGGCTCGGCTTCATCTCACCCGAGTTTGGTGTGGTTTTGCTCCACGGATGCAGGCGACACCGAATCTCCCTATCTGGTAGCAATTCGCCCGGCCCTCCCTACAATCCTCAGCAGCGTCGCGGCAGCACTAGCAGCAGATCAATGATCAAAACGCGGAGGCCGCACGCGTCGTTGCGCCGTCAATTCCAGTGGCACATCTCCGGCTGACGCGATCGATGCAGCTCTGTCGACGAGACATTTATTGCCTGGCGCCGTGCGGGTGTCGGTGGTGGCTATGCGAGAGGGCGTCGGCTTATCGCCTAAGAGCCGGCGGTTCGATGAGTTGAAGGATCTGACACAGCGTTTTTATGCAGAGCAAAGGCTCGGCCGCTTGTTTTTCCCGAGGAGGCGTGTAGCGAGACGCTGAAGCATGAATCAGTCAAGGGCCATTAGGTGAAATGGCAATAAAGGGCATCAGCTGATCCCGATTGTATGCTGCGCTGATATCCCGTGCACGCTAAGCTGAACATCAATGGAGGAGCATCGAGATTGCCGCGGGGCAGTGGCGGCAGTGACGCAAACGTCAGGAAAGCAAATGGAAGGCAGGCGATGGACGGGAATGGCTTGGACCGAGCTCTGAGAGGCGTCGATGGTAAGGTTATACAATCAGCAGCACTTTCTGCCAGCCTGGGCATCATGCTCGCAGAATGCCGTGCGCTGGTTGTCGTTCGTCCGCTTTTCGTGTTGGTCGTCGGCGTCAAACCCGTACGCACAACGCTCCGTACCTGTGAGGCATGTCACGGCCGCCTGACCACTCCGGTGGCACGACGCATGCAGTGCGCCTGTGAAGCGGCGCCAGGCCCCGGTCTCGGGGGTACCGTCCAGGCTCCGGTCTCGGGAGCACGGCCCTGTCGTGGGAACACCGTCCAGGCTCCGGTCTCGGGAGCACGGCCCTGTCGTGGGAACACCGTCCAGGCACCGGTCTCGGGAGCGCGGCCCTGTCGTGGGAACACCGTCCAGGCTCCGGTCTCGGGAGCGCGGCCCTGTTGTGGGAACACCGCCCAGGCACCGGTCTCGGGAGCGCGGCCCTGTCGTGGGAACACCGTCCAGGCTCCGGTCTCGGGAGCACGGCCCTGTCGCGGGAACACCGTCCAGGCTCCGGTCTCGGGAGCACGGCCCTGTCGTGGGAACACCGCCCAGGCACCGGTCTCGGGAGCACGGCCCTGTCGTGGGAACACCGTCCAGGCTCCGGTCTCGGGAGCACGGCCCTGTCGTGGGAACACCGTCCAGGCTCCGGTCTCGGGAGCACGGCCCTGTCGTGGGAACACCGTCCAGGCACCGGTCTCGGGAGCGCGGCCCTGTCGTGGGAACACCGTCCAGGCTCCGGTCTCGGGAGCGCGGCCCTGTTGTGGGAACACCGCCCAGGCACCGGTCTCGGGAGCGCGGCCCTGTCGTGGGAACACCGTCCAGGCTCCGGTCTCGGGAGCACGGCCCTGTCGCGGGAACACCGTCCAGGCTCCGGTCTCGGGAGCACGGCCCTGTCGTGGGAACACCGCCCAGGCACCGGTCTCGGGAGCACGGCCCTGTCGTGGGAACACCGTCCAGGCTCCGGTCTCGGGAGCACGGCCCTGTCGTGGGAACACCGTCCAGGCTCCGGTCTCGAGAGCACGGCCCTGTCGTGGGAACACCGTCCAGGCTCCGGTCTCGGGAGCACGGCCTGGCCGCGCGGTCTCGGTCTCGGTCGCGCGCAGTCCGCTTGCGCGGGCCGAGCTCAGGCCCCCGGACACAGCACCGGTGCAGTGGCCTCCTCAGAGCTGTCCGGCTATCGGGGAATTAAAGCCGGTGCGGCACCGGGCCCGCCTGTATTCCAATCTCGGGCTAATTCCGGCGGCGGATTTCCCCGAGGAGGCGGCCGGCCGGGCCCTCCGCTCCCTCCCGCCCGCGGGCCCGTTCGTACCGGCGCCACTTCCCGTCTAGGTCGTCTCGGGTCGGACGGGGCAGGGGCGCTGGCCGGGGGGGGGGAGGGGAGGGGCTGGGGCTGGCGGTGCCGACGTTCGGGTGAAGAGGTGATGGCATCGCCGGGGATTACGCTGAAGCGCGGTGATAAAAAGCTTACGGTCGAGGGAGGAATGATGTTCCCAACGCAGAAGCCTGTTTTTACTGCTGCAGTTGGTCTGGATGTAGTGAGGTGCCAAACCTATGCAGTAAACGTGCGAAGATATGCTGATAGCCACACAAGTACATGACATTTCCTCAGCAACACATTACACATGATGTGCTGTATTTCAAGCAGCTTTCTATGCATTGCTGTGTAATATGGAGACCGACGACACACGTCTAACTTCTCTGCAACTCTTGTGGTATTTCCCGATGCCAATGAGGCCACGCCGCGCGCGTACATGTATGTACATACGTGCGAGCTGCCGTGTCGTGGGTATGGGACGAGGACAAGTTATCCGCTGGTGTTTCAGACGCGCCGGTTGTGACGTTGCAGCTGCAGACACCACACCAGGGCAGGGAGTCGATCGCCGAGGGTGATGACGTCACGCTGACCTGCCAGGTCAGCGCCGACCCGCCGGCGCACAGCATCGAGTGGAAGCTGAACGTGAGTGGGTCGAGTGTTGCACGCCTCTCGGGAGAGCTCGGGAGATCTCGGCAGGTTCTCGGGTCCCCCATAGCTCCGCGCTCTCGGGCCATTCGGACACGCGCTCCGCAGGGGTCGCTCACGCGGAGAGGGATCCATGGCACTGCCCCTAATTGGCTGCGGGGCATGGGGTGAGGACGTAATTGGCCAGACATAAACAAATTTCACGGCTGATTGGCTGCGGCGCAAACCGCTGTTTTCTCCGTATCCGTGATGTCAGGTCGCGAAGACAGAGCTGCGCCGTTCGCCACATGACAATCTATGCTTATTTTAGCCTGAATTACAACAGTTGAGAGTCGAAGCCGAGTCCAGGAAGCTTCATCAATTGCGGGCAATGCAAGCCTGAGCATCTAATACCAGGAACTGTTATCAGTTGCTGAAAATCGAGCTTGGCTTATAAACTGGTTTTAGGTTCCTAGCAATAAGGGACAATGACCAATAGAATTATATATAGTATTCGTCTATATTTGTGTGTGTGTGCGTGTGCTTAGCTTATCATAACCTTAATGTTTGATCAAGCGATCTGTATGCCTATTAAGTCATTTAGGGGCTAACATTCCAAACATGACTTGCCACTTAACAGTGACGTGACGGAGCGCTGCGACGTGAACGTGAGAACGGGGACTGACACCGTCAGCTACCTGACGCTGCACAGCACGCAGCATCAAGTGATCAGTGACGACCATGCCGTGGTCATTATAAGAATTCAGTTTTTGCCCGTTTCCGATGGTGTGCGGCCATTCTGTTACGGTGCTTTGTTACCGGATCATAGACGACGGTGAATTAACGCTGCGCCAGTTGGGGTTACTGGAATGCGTGGGAGTTGGTGGTCGTTAGCAGCGGACCTAAGCTGACCATAGCATACATTTAAACCGAGACATTTCTCGAAACATTTCCCGAGGCATTCTTCTGCGATACGTGTCTCGCGGAAGAACTGCCGTTCCTAATTTCGGTACCAGGGTCCTAATGTGAACGGATGTGCTGACAACAAGCCACACTCAATATCCCCAACATCAAACATCCGTCGGTGCCTCTTACGACGACCGCAATCCCCGGCGCAATCGGCACGCGTGCGCGGGAGGCCGGGCAGACGGGGCCGGTCGGACGGGGACGGACCGGCCGGCCGGCCGCGCCGCGTCATCTGCGTGCACTGCAGTCAGCAGGCGGCGGCCGTTCGTCAGCGTAGTTGTCCGAGCCATCATCACGGTGGCGTCGTCGTCTCGCGGCCCTAATGATGGTCGTCGGCAGCAGGCGTTCCCCCGGGCGCCGATATTGCGCCGGGCCGCGATCCGCGGCGGCGACGCCGGGTTGTCACCCCTCCCTGCCCCCGCTCCCGCCCGCCCCCTCTTCCTCATGCTCCCCTCCCCCTGCCACACGTGGGTTGTGCGACCGCGATCTAGCGCGGAACGGCGCCGGTTTTGATGGGCCGAGCTGCAGGTTTTATTGCTGGTGATACCGGCGGGGGATGGGGCGCTGAAATGGTAAGAGTCACAAACCGGATTGGTTTGATTGAAACCGGTATGTGGAAAGTGTGACGGGATTTGGATGCTGCTTTTAGTCTTGCCACAGCTTGTGTCGCTTTAATTAATTATCCCGTCGTTGAATTAAACCACACCACTCTAAGTAAACTACACTATGATTGGCAACACCTGGTAGCACTGGCTAGCCATGCCCGGTCGCCCGTGGCTCGCGAACACCACACAGGCGATCGATGAACTTCTCCTTCTATCGCCAGCTATCGTCTGCCCCATGCTGAGCTCGTCGTGCGCTGGCGCCATCTTTTATAGGCCAACTTAACGGCTGGACGCCGTCGTTTTTAGCGGAAGCGGCGTCAGTGCTTTTCAACAGACTTCCGCCCGGCGATGGTGGCTCGGTGGTCTGGCGACCAGAGGCCAGAAGGCAGAGGGATGGTCTGGCGGCCAGAGGCCAAAAGGCAGAGGAATGGTCTGGTGGCCAGAGGCCAAAAGGCAGAGGTATGGTCTGGCGCCGCGGCCGACAGCTCAGAAGGCGCCCAGACGCGTGGCGTAGACTGCGGCAGTATGCATGGCGGAGGAAAAAGAACAGAAGTGCTCGTGGATGGGACTCCCCCTGCTTCGTAGAGGGAAATGTCAAACGTTGGTAGGAGAATGGGAAAGAATGTAACTAGAAGAGCCAAAGAAAAGGATGGCAAGGGTCCGGGATGGGGGTGGGGGTGGGGGGGAAGGTTCCAAAATGCGACTAAGCGTGCAACTAAAAACATTCTGTTTACCTTCTCAAACCAGTGATGCCACTTTGTAGTATTGCTGCATGGGGATAACAATGTTTCGAACGGCTCTCTTCTCACTTACCCAACGCAAGCCATACAGTCGGGCCTCTGTGGACAACAGGCGAAAATTATCATGGCCCACGAATATAAATCCACTAGTAGGGGGTCAACTTGACACCCCCCCAAAGGTTTTTCCAGAATGGTTTCAGAACGGCGCGGCGTAGCCGCGCCAAATTTTGCATAACTATAAACAATTGAATAACGGATCGTTTGGCATAAAACATTTAAATGTAACTTGTAAAGTCGCTGACCTATGGCAAGTTGAAGTCAGACCATGGTTTCAGCGAACGCATTTCTAGGGGAATCCTTCAATCTGATTCAACAACGGGGTGTTAGACAAAGCCATACATCTCTGAGATGCTTTCTTAGGCAACACAACAGCTGAACGAGCAAATTACATTGACTTAAGGTCAGGTATGAAGGTCACACCAAGGTCAACACCAACCTGTTTTGTTACTCTAGGGCTTGCTGTATCGGATAGTTTCTGGTGCTCATTTCGAGGGTATTGATAGCAGGAACCGCATTATGCATATTTCATTGACTACTTAGAGGTCAGGATGGGTCAATGATCTAAAATGACCCAGGTCAACATTTTGTTTTAGGAATATGCTGCCTAGCGTAATCTTTGTCGCTTAGTCAAATGCAGAACTCAAAGCAGTCTTGTATGATTTTGGTCACCCTGACCTTAAAAAGGTCAAACAAGTTCACTAACCTTGAATGAGAATGCGACCTTTTGCTTAGAAACGGTTATATAGGTTTTGGTGTACTTTGAAGACCAACCTGGAACTTTACCTTGCTTGACCTTTTTTGACTCGAAGGTCATGACCTAGGAATATGAAACTTTGATATGAGTGAGTTCACGTACAGGTCAACACACCCTGTAAATTTGATGTCTGTAGCTTTCTTAGTTCCCGAGATCTCAGGGAGGGGTATCAAATTGACCCCACCCTAGCGAAGGGTATCTAGGCGGCCACCCTGGCGCGTGTTAAAGTTAATTGCAAACAGTAGAAGGCGAGCTGGTTCGCTCTGCAAGCGCGTTGTGCTTCTTCACGCGCCAGAACGGCAGCGAGTAGGCGGATCTGTTGAGTATAATCAACACGAGCCCACTGGTGCGCCGCGTGACGCAAACGCGTGACCCAAACGTGACCCAGTGACCATAGGTTGTTGCCATGCCCGTGACGGGGGCCGAGGGTCACAGAATGTATCGTATCATAATCCGCTGATGATTACAAGGGTACAAAAATGTAGGTAATGAAAATGTTAGCATCTACATCAGGTAGTGCATTTTACATGTGTGATTGTATACAGAGAGAGAGAGAGAGAGAGAGAGAGAGAGAGAGAGAGAGAGAGAGAGAGAGAGAGAGAGAGAGAGAGAGAGAGAGAGAGAGAGAGAGAGAGAGAGAGAGAGAGAGAGAGAGAGAGAGAGGAGAGAGAGAGAGAGAGAGAGAGAGAGAGAGAGACGAGAGAGAGATGAGAGAGAGAGAGAGAGAGAGAGAGAGAGAGAGAGAGAGATATATATATATATACATATATATATATATATATATATATATATATATATATATATATATATATATATATATATATATGCATGTACATGCCTGATATTGATTGCGAGAAAGAACGTAAACCACGTGGACTATACTTGAAATGTGAAAAAAATTAATTTTATCGGCCTGCCCTCGCTACGTAGAAGCTAATATATTTGTAACCCTTGATTGTAGACCCATGCAATTTCCAATAGCAAGAGGTACGAGGCTTTAAACCCTGTGATGTGAAAATATTAAGAGCCTTGCATGCCCACCTTTTGATAAGGTAAATGCTTCCTTCGTCGCAGCCTTAACGCCACCTCACCTCCTCCGTTCGCCTAGCATAGGAATCGAACCACGAAAATGCTGTAGAAAACGTGTCGGGACAGGATCCAAGCTTCAAAATAGCACGGTGTCAAAGCAATACGGCTTACAGATTCTGATAGAGGAGAAAACGGACAACGATGTCGGCAAAATTATGAGCCGATGTGTGCAAACGAGTACCAGCAGGGGTGCAAATGCTGCGTGAGTGCAAATGAACTCCAGAAAGAAAAATCCTTGACGGTTGTGCCGCATCGCATTGAATTTGTATTTGTTTTGTGGTTTGTTGCATTTAGAGTTATACTGCAACGGTTGCTAAAAGATCTGGTTCCAGGTGACAATTTAGATGGTTTCGAATTTTGTTAATGACAGAAAAATCACTTTTCTCACCTCTGAGCACTAGCTCCGGTGCGCAAACCATGCAGAGTCGTCAGTTTTGGGAAACGTTTCAGCATTGGTGTCAAATCTCAGTAACGCGGGTAGATGAAGACGTGAAACTGACTGCAAGGCGCAGACAACAGCATCAGCTACAGCTCACCACCGTTTGTCCTCACCGCCTGATGCACGGGTGCGCCAGGAATCAATGGGAGATCGGCGAAGGATATTGTTTCCGAAACTGATCTCGAATACGGGACACTGCATTCCAAAGAGGGAGGGAGCGGATCATGAAAGTTGTATAGTCTTGGGGCCATGTGTATTATCACAAATTTGCACACAGGATATGCACATTTTTCGCCAATGTTTGATAAAAGTAGGTCAAACCGCAATTCATTTTAGATTCACCGATCTCATCGATTACAATTTCAAACCCGACTAAACACGCGTACACTAATTTTAGAGACAATACTATTGATATCGATACGGGGCACGCATCTGCCACAGTAGTCGGCCTTCAGCTTTATTCTCATCAAAAACAGATTTCCAAAACATTTATTATACCCATTGGTACAGGTTACAGATGGTGACTGACACCCATGGCTTATGTTTTGAATAACTAGCATAGTAGTAACTGACGGATCTCATATATGCCACCGCCGCATTCGTTCCGCGCCGCGAGAGACCAACTGGTACTTTGGCGCTTGTTCACATCCATATCAATGCGACCAAAATTTTGATAATGCGTGGGGGGGGGAGGGGAGGAGGTCGTACATGCCCGCCCCTTTAAGACATTCCTGGTCTGGCTTCAGTGGCTCGCGTTTTAGTGTAATCATGATCAGTACATTGTGGTAATTGATAAATAGACTGTTTGCTATAATCTTGATATTGCGGTCCAGCATAAGGCGCCGCTGGGATGTGCACCGCCCTCTGCAGCATTTGCACCTGGCGTTTATTTTGTATTTCGCCGGGTGTATACAGATGCATCCGACTCTGTCACATAAGCCATGATCTATCCGGGAGCTAAGAATTATGTTTCTGAGTCTCGGAAACAGCTTTCTAACCGTGCCCGGTAAATTAACCAATTGTAACTGATCTAAAATGGTTCATTTGGTGATCAATAAAGTATGTTCTGGAAAAAAGATGTGTGAAATTAGGTTAGGTAACAGAGTTACAAACTATTCAGAGGAGGCTTGAGGTCTTACCTTCATGTGGATTCAGTCCCAATTTTGCTTTCTTTTTGGCTACATTAATGCAACTCTTTGCTCTGTTTGACCGGATGCCCACTAATTCAGTCGCATTCTAGTAAGGCACACAAAGTAAGCATGAAACGTTATGTTATGCCAAATATCAAGCCATATCAAATTTTATTTAATTCATGGCACTTGAATGAATGTAGCTGACACCTTTCCAACTCAGGAAATGTTCTATGCCATATCAAACGGAAAAAACTGAAAACCTTGTTCAATTGCAGGGCCTGATCCTGAGTTAAATTGACCTTAAGCTGCCGTGACCTTTAATCATTTTCTTTTTTGGAACTATGGTGTTATCCTGAAGCGGAAGACCACATTTGGCTTGGCATCGAGTACAAAGCTATGCAATCAATATTATGTGTGCTAGTAGAGGGCACTGAAGTAATTCAAGGATTTTCATAGTTTCCCATATATTTTGCGTGACCCGTTACGTCATCAATCATGTGAAAATATCGACTAAAGACTCCAAGTCATGTCTGCCCAGAGCACGGACGATTGCTGTTGGAATTCGTCCAATACCACCATAGCATACTGGCATGCCAGGGAATCATTTTTAACCTGTACCCCGGGAGCGGAGATGACGAAAAACCATTGCTGGTGCCAAATCAACTTCTTGTCATGACACTTTTGGTGACCGAGCTTGCAATTCTGTCACCTAGACTCTCCGAAACACGTTCGCAACTGTATGTTAAAGGCATTAGCAGATATCTAGTGTCCTTGATGGAGACAGGTGTGACTGGCATGGAAGGTGCATGATGATGTGCTTGAATTTCTGTCTTAATTCGCCCATTGCCAACTTAAAGTCATGAAATGACATCTTAGCCGTATGCAATAGGCCATGGCAGTCTACGAGTGTGACACCCTCAAATAAACAACACAGCTTAGGAATCCTAGTGAACAAGTAGAGGCTGAGCGACTGCGAACTGCCGGGTCCACCTTATGGGTTCAACAGTATGCATGGCAGTGTCAATTTGTAACGCTATCCGTGAATTGTCGTCAACTAAACATATTCCACTGAAATCTTGTGAGACTCCAAATGCAAACACATCAGTTTCCTTATCAAATTCAGCCGACGGCAGCGGAGGAAGTGTGATTGGATCGGATTCCGGCCATGAAACCTTGATCTACCATTCCGCCCTGTGATAAAGGCGTGAGCTGTTTTACCGATACCGGCGGTTGAAACATGACGCCAACTATATCTTCACCACGGCGTAGGTCTATGCTTGTCATTCCTGGCATGGAGTCAATATCCCTCTCTGTTTCTTGCGATGCTTTAGAGAGAACAATGCCGCCATACACATGCTACACATCTGCTGTTCGTCCTCACAAGCCCACTCTTCTACCCCGGGAAGTCACCGCTGTCATGTGCCCCACCACCGCTCCGCAGTTGCTATCTTCGGTGGCACAGACGTGCTTATGCGAGGTTGTCCGAACATTAGGCAAGGTTGGGAGGGTGATACCATTTTGAAGTCAATTCTTTCCATGGGTAATAATAAGGTGATGCTTAACTTTCGCGAAACAGCAACTACCTTCACCAGGGCGGTGCCCTTTACCTATGCGTTTACCTCATCTTTATACCCCTGATCTTGCCTCACCGGTCTTCTCCCTTCCTCGTTGCTATATACCATGATGTCGTCATCGCTGAAAAGAACAAAGTCAAGAAAGCCGCACGCTTGTGAGTGCGCCTGGACGCCAAAGTCGATCTGAAAGATCCATGCACCGTCGCCGGTTCATCGATAACGAGGTGAGCGGGTATTGAGCGCGATCCATTGTAGTGGCACCATCGGCGTCCAATTAGCGAAGGCCGCACCGGTCCTCCTGCGACTCGGCCCGTCACTCCTGCCTGACTGGCCCGGCACTCCTCTGGCCGACACTCCAGTCCGGTGAGTCGGAGCGGTCTCTCCTGTCCTCTAGTCGTCGGACGTCCATGTCCGCCAGAGGCGGACCACGCCTCACAGCTCTGACCCCGCTCCACCCGACAGGAGCGGCCCCTGAACCGCAGCTCTCTGACCGGCACGGAGGTCACCAACGGGTCTCTGACCCTGCGTCGGGTCACGGTGCGCGACGTGGGCTTCTACACGTGCGAGGCACTTAGCAGTGAGGGCAGAGGGCGCAGCAACGCCCTCTACCTGCCCGTCAGACGTGAGTAGCCGGCGCAGTGCGCCAGTGGAGGTCACGCCCGCGTCTGGTGTGGCCAGAGCGAGGGGGGGGGGGGGGGGCGGGGGAGAGACCATGGCTCAAGCAGGCGGGAATGCCTGCATGTGATAGGCGGTGATACACAGTGAAGACAAGTAAAGGCAGTCTGAGGGGTGGGAATGAGGGCGATGTAGGGCTTCGGTTATACAAAGAAATGTTTCGCGGTCAGTTCGAGTGTATGATGGTATATCGAGGCATATATATTGTATATTGTTATCGCTGAAGGTTCTCTCACATTAAGCTGTCGCACCTGTGCATGTGGTTGTTCCAAACAACTCAACCATGATAAATCGTGCACTGACATTTGATGTGCAAGCACATGTGCACATATTGGTAGCATAGCAGTAAGGGTGCACGTGAACGCACGGTGATAATATTAAAAAAGCCTACCACTCCGCGATGGGCAAAAACCTGACGCTGCCGCGTTCACCGTGCGTCAGCGCACCATCCAGTCAGTTGTGTGGTTATAGTCAGCAGCAAAAACGGTATCACGGGCAAACGGCAAACGGCAAACTTGACAAACGGCAAATTTTGCTACGGCAAAAACTCCTTTCGACAGAAGTACTGCGACAGTACATTACTTCTGCTGCAAAAATAACACAAATTTCACTTGTATGCGGAATAACTCCTGCTTCAAAGACTTATACCCGACGTGAGTGCTGCATGGCAACATTTATACTTCAAATACTTTTACACTTCATTACGCCTACTGCAGAAGTTATAGTCTTTACTTTACTTCTTTTACTTCTACTTTACCCATGCATGACATTACTGTTGCTTCAAAAACTCACACGACATGGATTACTACACGACAAAACCCTAACTACAAAAATATATACCTGCCATTTCTTTTAAAGCAAAGGCTAGTGTAGTTTTTATTTATATGCGGCACTACTTCAACTCCAACGAGTTATAGGTGACATAAGTACTACACAACAAAACCTGAAAGATAATAAGACTGTTGTAAAAGCCTATGTTCGCCACTTTGTCCGCTGTAAGGAATGTACAGTCTTTACTTGCTAGTAATTTCACTCCTTCGGTCAAAATGCATATGCCGCATTTGTGCGGTAAAATACACGCCCTAATCGAAAAATTACAGCCATCAGTACCCTAACCTATAGGTTAACACGCGCTCGGGTGGGGGGTCAAACTGACCCCCCGAAAGGCTTTTCCAGAATGGTTTCTGAACGGCGCGGAGCAGTTGGGCCAAACTTTGTACAGCTGTAGACAATTTAATAGTGGATCGTTTGAAACCAAACATTTAGATCTACCTTGTAAGGTCGCTGATTTATGGCAGGTCAAAGTAAGGCCATGGTTTCAGCTAAATCAATTTCTAGGGAATCGTTCAATCTGATAAAACAACTGAGTGTTTGACGAAGACATACATCTCTGAGATGCTTTCTTAGGCACCAAAAATGTTGAATGGGCAAATAGCGTTGACCTAAGGTCAGGTATGAAGGTCAGATCAAGACCAAAGCCAACCTGGTTTGTTACTCTAGGGCTTGCTGTATGTGATAATTTCTTGTGCTCGTTTCTAATTTATTGACGACAGAAACCGCATTACACATCCTCCATGGACTTCTTAGGGTCAGAACAGGTCACTAACCTAAAACAACTCGGTTGACATTTTATTTTAGGAACATACTACGTAGCGTAATCTTTGTCGCTTATTTAAGTGCAAAACTCAGAGCAGTCTTGCACGATTTTGGCCACCATGACCTTGAAGGTCAAGAAAAGTCACTGAACTCAAAGGGATTGTAACCTTTTGCTTAAAAACAGTTGCCTAGGTTGTGGGGGCACTTCGGAGACCAACCTGAAATTTGACCTTGTTCGACCTTATTTGACCTGAAGGTCATTGTTTAGAAGGCTCAAACTTTAATCTAAGTGAGTTCACGTACAAGTCAAGACACCCTGTAAATTTGGAGTATCTAGCTTTCTTAGTTCCCCAGATATCAGGAGAGTCAAATTGACCCCCACCCCCACCCGAGCAAAGGGTATCTAGCCGGCCAACCGGGCGCGTGTTAAGCTTCACCAGAATTCTGGAAAGGTCGAACACATGGGATTACTTTGCCGGGTGAAATCAGACTGCAGGTAACTGCTCAACGATACCGATACATCATCGCTGCTCTTAATATTGCGATGGACAGTTCCACGACGGCAATAGTTCCACGCGGCATTTTTTCTACTGAAAAAAAACGCATGGGCACTTTCGTAGTGTTGCAAGAGACATTTGGGGCTAAGTAGGAAAAAACGGTCAAACCTGCTCCGAAATACATGAAACGGCGTTCACCCCAAATGGGGCATGTCTTCCTATCACAGATGAGGGGCGGATGACGTCACCAACTGGATACGAAACTTCACTACTGGCTTGGTGTTCACTGACACGCGACATTACCTCTACTCTAAAACTTATACCCTTCGTTGCTATTTTGCCACCAGAACCACAATCTTCCCTCATATGCCAAACATTTGAAATCGACAAAATCACGGGACGTAATGCATAGATAACTTTTCTGATCAGCACCACAATCATTTCCTTGTTGCATTGTTCAGTTTGGGTTCTCTCCTAAGCTGTGAACTTACCCTGAACCCCTGCTAGGTGCCCACCAATTTGGCACTCCACGGCAAGCGTTAGCAGTAGAAGTAAAGACTATATATGTCGCGTATGCGTAAAGGCTTTACACGACGCTGTTGCAGTAAACGTCGTGATCATTATGCATTTTTCAGGCGTAGGTTTTGTCGTGTAGCACTTATGTCGTATACGACTCCTTGCACTAGAAGTAAAGAATGACTATAGGTGTTTGCAGTAGAAGTAAAAAATGGCTGTGGGTGTTGGCAGTAGAAGTAAAAAATGATCGTATACGTGCGTGCTTGCAGAAGAAGTAAGCATTAGTTTAACGAGCATAAGTTTTCGCAGCGTGAGTTTTTTTGCGTAGCACTAATGTGGTGCATAAGTATGGGCAGTAAAAGTAAGGCCGTAGCATTCCTGTCGGTATAGCTTTTTTGTAGCCCTAATATTTTGAAATCGCAGTCAACAAACGACGGCCGTCCTTTGTACTTCTTGTTCGAAGCACTGCGGACGAGAATACTGTCTCGGTTTATCAAAGATATTCTCCTTTCATTTGCTTGGAAGTGAATGGCAAGCATATAAGCTACCTTCACTCAACTGCTGGCGAGGCTGCATTATCCCTGGGCCCGCCTGTTTTCGCTATGGCTAAATTTGTTTGCTCTCAGCGATGAGGCATGTGTGCAAGAAAAAAAAGAATTGGCGACCCAGAAACTCAGGCACTTTGCGGAGGGAATCTGCTGGATCCTCTGCGGCACAGATGCACATAGCTGTATGGCATGTTGCAACGCGCACCCAAGCGTAACGCCGGCAACACATATTCCGACATGCAATGTGTGACACAGCCGGAGCCGGCACGGGCAGGCTGCCCTGCGGCCGGCTCGCCCCGGCGTGGGGCTGTTTTTCGTTTGGCCGCCGGTCGCTTGGTCGGCAGGCGGCGCGTCCGGCGCCATTTTTTACCCGGTACGTTACAGGTGTGTAATTTATCGCCGCTTATCACGTCGACAGTCGAGTGGGGCGCTTTGTTTTTCCGAGCGGAGCCTGACGGACGGGCTGCGGCCACGCGGCGTCCGGTAACGCCCCCCGCCGCGCCCCGCGGCGCTCCGTGCCCACCGCGCTGCGGCGCTTAGCGGGCGGCATGCTCAGCGGACGTGCCCCGGCTCCCAGGGCGCTCCGCAGCGGCAGCAGGGGTGAAAAAGCACCTTTTCTGTCACCGACGACGTTTGGAGCCGTCTTAATTGTCACCTGGAGTCAAATCTTTCAGAAACCGTTGCAATATAACTCTTCGTGGATAAACCACAAAAACAAAGGCAAATGAAATGCAATGTGGCAAAGCCATCGAACATTTTCGTTTCGGGATTTTCAGTACTTAAGTATCATAAGTATCATTCACTGTCCATCAAATGCTGAATGGTGGTTGAGACTAAATGAATAAAATCATTAAATAAAGGCATACTTAACATAACAAGCCTACAGGCTTGCAGTTATGTATTCAGTTGAGAGAAGAGGGATTGTGCCTTCGAACCAGGGATCAAGTTGTCTATTTTGTCAGTTATATCCATAACTTTTCATTAATCATGCCTTTTAAGTTTCAACCTCGCGAAATCAGTTTTGAGAAACTACGCTCCCGCTCCCAATTGTGAAAAGAAAACACTTCAAATCTGGGAAGAAAACTGATTTAAGTACATTAGGAGGCAGGTTCAGCCATTTTTCTTCCCGCACTTCCTTCTCTCTCCCTCACACCGACGTATTCCGCAAAACTCAACCATGTGTCCCTAGGTTTCCCGATGAAGTTGTTTTAAAAGCACCTGGAGACAATATCACTTTTGTTTTTGTGGTGTCATCGTACCATTAGTCGGAAGCATTGGTGACCTTCTCTATCTTTACATAATCATTACCGGTGCAGAACTCACACTTTCTGACATCCTCCCAACTATGTGGAGCAAAATATATGCAAAATCGATATTAACAGATACGAATAACAAGTTTGATTACCTCTAGCACCTTCACTTAGCCGATGCAGCCTGCACTTTTCTCTGATAAGAAATACAAGGAATACAGTAAAGAATACAATCAGCGGTGTAACTATGACATAGCTTGATAAAACAACACTGCACATCCAAATACTTTCAATTTAGTGGTACGAACTCACACAACAGAAGTATATTAGTTCAATGGATGACACCTAGTTATCAATAATATAAAAATGTAAAGGTCAATTAACATCTGCTTCTTTTCACTTGCATGCTCATACGGTGTTCAAGAAGTTGTTAAATTCTTAGCTCTGGAAAATGAATTTAGAACCTGTGAACTCATAGCTCAGGGAATTAGCACGCAGTCATGCTTAGCAATAAATCGTGAGCGACAGCTGACACTATAG